GGCCTCTTCCTGGTGGCCTGCCCTGACTGCTGGTCTCCAGACCCTCTGGCCGGAGGTGGCCATGGCACCTGTTGCACATGACACCACCTACCCAGACCCTGGGGAGGAGAGAAGAGAGGCCTTAAGGAGATCAGAAAACGGAGTGGCCTAAGAGGAGGCCCGGGCCGGCACCCTCAGGCTGTGCGGTTGGTCCTAGTCTGTTTCCTTGTAGAAAGTTCAGAAAACAGCTAAGAAAATGCAGACACACACCTGCCCCCAGCGTCAGGCAGCCGGCTGTCCTCTATCTACCTAGCAGCAGGCACAGGGAGGAGGAAATGGCTTTCGCCAGGGTGCAGGCCCAGGAGGGCAGGAGACACCAGCAGCCTGCAGGGAGGCCTCTTTCAGGCTCGGCCCTCTGGGCCTGGCCTGTGCTGGTGGCCAGCGTGTCCCTCTGCAGGTGAGGGCAGGACAGAGCTTGTGGCCTGTTGCTGCGCAGCAGGCTGGGTGGGTGGGCTCGGGGAAGCACCATCTGTGAGATTGGCCCATGGGAATGTCTCAAGAGGGCTGGGCCCTCCTCCCCAACAGAGGAGCGCTTCCTCGGTGAGGTCAGTGAAGCCGGAACCCCACCTAGCACCTTGCGGCTCCCGGAAGCACAGGAGGTCCCCAACCAGGTTCCTTATCTGCAGAATGGAGACAGCGGCACTGAGGGTTGGGAGGTTAACCGATGTGCATTCAGATAGGGTGCAGGCCCCTGGGGCCACATGTCCCTGCTGCCCCCCACACTAAACGGAGAACGGGCCCTGACGAGGGTGACCAAAGGGCCAGACTGGCAGGTGGTCCTGGGACCTCGAGCCCGGGGAGGGTGCTGCAAGTGCAGGCAGGAGGGCCTGCAGGGGCCGAAGCCTGTCTGAGCTGGGGGTCCCCCTGCCAGCTGGCCCCGGTGCCTTACACAGAGTGGGCGGCACTTCCTGGCCGTGGCAGGGAGTGTGTCCGTCAGCGCACCCGCTGGCTGGTGCCACCCAAGCCGGGCTCCTGGCTTTCTCTGTCCTCACTTCCCAGGGCCGCACCGGCGTCTCCCACGTGCGTCCTCTCTGCCTGGGAGGCGTGGGAGGTGGTGGTTTTCTGCCAGGGAAGAGGACTCCACAGCTTCCCCGGTTCAGGGCTGGGGCTGATGTGGGAGGAAGACTCAGGGGCCAGTTGTCATGGTAGAAGGGGGACGAGCTGGCATTCTGGGCAGAACCGGAGCTTGTCTGCCCTTCGAGCTCTGAAACGGTCTGTGAGTGCAGTCCCAGGGCCAGCACCGCCCCTGTGGCCCGGCTCCAGACAGTGGGCGCCCTGTTTCCCTTTTGGGCTCCCCACTGCCTTGTCAGGACCTGGGAGGGGACACACAGCCCCATGTGTGCCCTCCCGTGCCAGCCGGGCTTGACAGCAGCAGGGGTTGGGGACCCAGAGGCCACCGTCCCCACAGACGTAAAGTGCGTTTGTTGGCATGTGTGAAAACCAACCAGCCTCATGAGTGGAGCCTGCCGCAGCCCGGCCCGGTGGGGCCGGTGTTGACCAGCTCCCGGACTTGAGGCGAGCGCTCCTCTCAGGCCTCCGTTTCCCCTTCTGTGAGAAGCGGGCAGGGGACAAGATAGGCCTCCTCGCAGGTTCCTCCAGCCAGCACGGGAGTCCCGTCCTCTCCGGCTCTGGCCCTTCCCCTGCCTGTGGCCGGGAGTGCCTTGTTGAGTTAAGGGAAGGCAGTCGTGGTCCGAGGATGGCTATTTTATCAGAATATTTTGTGCAATATCACCACGAGACTTAAAAAACAGCCTGGACCACCCGTCTCCACCCCTCGGTCTCGCCCCTGGCGTGGGCACTTTTGATTCTCCTGGACATTTCTTCTCGCACCCGCCCCGTCCTACGTGACGCGCCGCCTGGCCGTGTCCTGGTATTGCAGGTGAGGACTCCCTGTCCCCTCCCGCACACACCTTTATGCCCGTGTCAGACGGGCCGGGCTCCGTGCTGGTCACTACACTCTGCTGCTGCGGAGGTCATCTCGCGACGACTGCTTTCTTGCACGAACTGACTGTGAGGAGGGTCCCCATAGGAGCCCGTGTGTCACCCTCGGGCATCAGTTTCCTTACATCCCTTGTGTCCTGGAACCAGCACTGCGGCCCCAGGAAGGGGTCTGTCCTCAGCAGCAGCCAGGCCACTCTCCGGCCTGCTCTTCTGACCCGGCGGGGCTGGTGGCTGCTCCCAGGGTTACTCGGAGGGAGGGAAGCAGGTTAAAGGGCAATTACAAAGGCCTTTTGAGGAACGCGGTTTCCGAGGAGGGTGACAGAAATCCGCTCCTTCAGCCTGCAGGTCTCATGGCCGCGGCACAGTCCTGCTCTGTGATAAAACCCAGGGTTTCTGTGTATCTCGGCCACTCTGTGTTTTGGGGGGCATGGCACAAAGCGGGGTCTTGGTGGCTTTGTTGTCTCTGGGTGTCAGAGCAGGTTTTATTTTGTAGAGCGTCCTGAAGTCATTGGGAGGCCTGGAGTGTCGCAGCAGCATGACCCTAACCCTGGGATCCCTTTGCCATTCCCGGGGCCCCTGACAAGCCCCCTAGGTCGGCTGGCGGGTGGCTGTCACCTCGCCCGCCCAGGAGCACAGGGACCGCCCAGAGCAGGGGTTACCAGAGAGACCTCCGGGTAGGACAGTGAACCTGGGTCCCCCTCCTGCCCTGTCCCGAGCTGCCAGCTCCTCCTTCCTGCCAGAGGTGTGACAGGGTCCACAGGGAGGGTGAGGGAGGGGGAGGCTTAGCTGCCTGGCTCTCGCTGAGCAGATCTCCTCACCGCCCCTACTCCGGGAGGACGGGGGAGGATGGTGGGGAGCACGGGGGAGCAGCCTTAGGCACCTGACTTCAGGCAGCAGGACTCCAAGCTCCTCGGATGGCTCTGGGTTGTGTGCAGGGGGTGCTCGCTGGGCTCCTGCCCCCTAACTTCAGCCCTAGCACCCCCACTTCCATCTGCTTGGGGAATGTGAGACGTGCTGTTTCTCTAGAAATGGGGGTTTGCTTGCCAAAGTCGAGTGTGTGAGCTGAGAGCGTGGACAGCTCCAGGTCCCTGTGGGCCCGTGCGCCACCCACCCTGATGTCTGGGTGCCCCTCCTCCTGGACACCTGTTGCAGGGGAGTCCAGGCTGCCGGGTGGGGAGAGGGCCACTTGCCAGCCTGGGGAGGTGTCTGGTGAACCCTGACCCTGCCCTTCCCGCCGGGCTCCAGCAGGTCCCTAACTCTTGGCTGGGACCTGGGTTACGGGCTGGAACGGAGAGATAGTGGCCACCGCCCCGCCTGCTGTGGAGCCCTGTGCAGGGTGCTGGCTCGGGGGAGGCTCTGCCTGTGGGGCTCCTCCCCAAGGTTTGGGGGCATCACCCAAGACCCAGGCCCCAACCCCAGCTGCAGACCCGGGGAGACTCTGGGGTAACCAGGGTCAAGGTCACTTGTCTTCTCTTCGGGGTCCCTTTGTGGCCAACAGAAGTCTCTGATAAGGAGTTTGTAGGAAAGACTATTCCAGTGAACGTTTGCAAACTGGAGAGCTGCAGCCTTGGAGTAAAACAAAGGTGTTTTCGGAGAACAAATGGAAGGAGAGACTCAGGTTTCACAGGGAAAATTCCCACCCAGGTTCTTAGTCAAATCCACTTATGCAGATGAGGGATTGGAACTTGCTCAGTTCTGATTGGTCGGTACAGCTGAGCTCTGATTGGTTGGTTCAGGGGAGCTCTGGAGTCCCAGAGTTAAGAAGATTTGAGTTTTCAGGGAACTCAGAGTACCTTCGTGACCCCCAGTCAGCACATGGCTGTTCGGCTCTGTTTTAAATTTAGGCCCAGTTGGCCTCTCGGGACCCTTCGCCAGGGACTGGCTCTTTGAGGTCACTTCTGTTCACAGTGTGCACCACACACCCTTTGCAGGACCTGCCGACAGCCGGCCTCCCGAGCCTGGGGACAGGAGGGCAGAGGTTCCCGGGGCACAGCCTCCTCCCTGGCAAAGCTTTCCCTAGGCTTAGGGACAGATGGCAGGACGTGTGCGCCGTGGGCTCCAGGCTGGGCAGGAGGGAGGCAGGAGGGCCGGCTAGTCCGAGGGCGAGAGCAGGCTCAGGTCTGTCTGCGACCAGCCCCAGGCCCAGCTCGGGTGGTGGGGGTCTTCCTTCCTCTCTGGGGTCGGGGTGGCCTCGCCTGCCCCTCCCGTGGTAGACCACGGCTGTGTTCTGAGACGGGGCTCTGGGAAAGGGTCGAGGCAAACCACCACCAGCGTCTCCTGCCTGCGGCGGCGTCACTCCCCTCCAGGAGCCTGCTCTGCAGGGCGGCTGCCGCCACGGACAGGCTCTTTCTGCGACACAGTCCTGGGAGCCCGGTCTAGGGGACGGGGCAGATGAGGTGACCCACCCGAGCCTGGTGACATCAGTGTCACCTTCAGGCTGGCGGGTGGGAATTCCCTGTAGCCGCCCTGCCGGAGGCCCTGGGAAGGGCAGTGTTGTCCCCTGGAGGGCTGGCCGGAAGGGGCCTGACCTCAGTGCCCTTGTCTCAGTGCCAGGCAGGGGGCATGGGGCCCTAGGTCCAGGGGGCACTTTCCTCGGTGCCACAGCTGCCCCGAGTGGCCCCCCACCCCCAGTTGTCTGTGGTTTGTGCCTCCCTCCACCTGCCCCGCTTTCCACCTTGGGGCCGACTTCCTCAGATCCTCCGAGGTCAGGGCCTGGCGCTGGGGTGGGCGAGGGGGACAGCGTGGGATGGAGTGGAGCCGGGACGTTGGCACATTCCTGCCTCCACGCCCCCTGCGGGGATGCTCCTGCTTTAACCCTGGGGGCACCCTTCCCAGTGCTCGCAGCTGAAACCGGTAACCTGTGGGGTCACCCTGGGGCTCCACACGGTCACCCAGGGCTGGTCCTTGCCCAGAGTCCCCTGAGATGGGGAGGGGGCTCCAGGGCCCCCCTGCGCCCCCTGGGACAGGGAGGGCCCCCGCGTCCTGCCTGCATTGACAGGTGTGCCCACCTTCCTACAGGTATGAATGCTGCTGTCAGGGCTGTGACGCGCATGGGCATTTACGTGGGCGCCAAAGTCTTCCTCATCTATGAGGTAAGGCCGCTGCGGACCGTGTGCCTTCAAGGTCTGTTCTGCGTGGGTCACCTGAAAGCCTTTGGGTGGCCCTCGCCTGGATTTGCTGGGTGCATGTGTTTGGGGGAGTGAGACCTGCTGCCCGGGGAACGGCTCACTCTGCGGCCGGGCCTGGGGTGGGGAAGGGGAGAGAGTGGGGACGGACGGGGAGCCCTGGCCCCAGTAACCTTGGCCGGTGTCCAGCCCCAGAGGCTGGGTGTGGGGAGGGAGGGTCACCTTGAGGCTGGTCAGGACATGACAGTGCAAGGGCCCAGGCCCTGCCCACAGCACCCCACTTGGCCTTCTGCCTGGTCCTTGTCCCCACTGAGGCTTCTGTGCACTGGGCCCAGGGACCTGGCTGCCTCCACCATGGTCCTCTGACCTCAGCCCTCCCGCACCTCCTGACCCACGCTGTGTTTGGATGACTCGGGGCAGAGCTAGAGCATCCTCCTAGTTTGTTCCATTACTGCCCCTGGGACGCCCCTTTGCCTCCCTCCAATCCCCATTGCGGATTTGGGGCTGACCCTCCCGCCAGTGCATTCACACCCATGCACACATGCACACAAACACGCACATGCACACACACACGCACACACACGCACATGCACGTGCGCACACACACACACACTTGCTCACATCCAGGCAGGGGAGTTCCTTGCACTGCCTTGTGGTTTGCTGGCAGCCATTTGTTATTTTGTTTTCACTTTTTACGTAAAATGTGGCAGCTCCTCGGGCTCTGGCTCCAGCCCTCCGGCTGCTGCCTGTGCCTTCTCCTGGGCCCCGGCTTAGGGGTACGGCGGGTGCCCACCAGCCCGGGCTCCGCAGGGGCGTCTGTCCGCAGGAACGCGTGAGTGGAGGATGAGCGCGGCAGCAGTCTGTGCAGGCTCCTCCGCCCTGGGACCGGGCGTGGGCCGGCTGGGCCTGGCGCCCGCAGGCAGGTTCGGGGAGCTGCTCTGTGCCCCGCAGGCAGGTGGCATGGCCCTGGGGACCAGAGGCATCTGCACGGGGGCCTGGGTCCCAGTCCTGCTGCCTGAGGCCGTGCCGCAGTCTGTCCACCTGCTCCACCCTCAGTCTCCTCTAATACATGGTGAAAGGAGAAATTATGATTTTCCTCGACCCTCCCGAGTTGGCAGTCGGGACAGATTCCCGCAGTGACGGGCGAGGAGCGAGAGAAAGCAGCACGTTTGTTTACGCGTGCGGGCATCGCAGGGCCTGGGGGCCACGCGGCAGCGTGCCGTGCGCTCACGTGAGATCTCAGCACAGCCCGGCGCGCCGTAGGGAGGCCGAGGGACAAAGGCAGAGCACGAGGCTCCCAAGGCGGGAGGATGTGGAAGGTCAGGTCACGGGGAGATTATTAATGGCAGAGTTTGCTCAGCTCCTCCGGCTGCCTCTGCTGCGCGTGGGGGGATTTACGCCCCATCTTTAGGCGGGAGGGGGAGAGTAGAAGGACCTTTTGTCTTCGCAATTCTCTGTCCTGCTTTTAGGCACACAGAGGGCAGCAGGGGCTCCCTGCATCTGCTGCTTAGTGGCCCTTAGCTACAAAACTGTGTCAAAGAGGTGTATTTTGGGGTGACACGTTCTGGTGCAGGGGCCAAGGAAAAATGTCCCTTTTGCCCTCTGGAGGTTGCTGAAAAATCAGCCCACAGAAGGCAGATTAATAGGAGAAAAGGCAAATTTATCCGCCTGCCGGAGGACCAGAGTCTGCCCGGCACTCACGCGCACCGGCGGTTCTGGCGCCTCCTTCTGGGGCAGGGGAGGGGACTGTGGGTGACTGCGGGCAGTAAATGCTTTTCAGGGGAGTTCAGTGGGCTTGAAGAGCATACAGTGGCCTGGGACAACATCTGCTGGGCCGCAGGGCAGACAGTGGTTTGTGACAACGTCCGTCCGGGCGTGGTGACAGATGCCAGTCTTCCTTACGAGATACAAGTTCAGTTAATGAAAGCTCAGGGAGGGGACCCGGGGTCAGGACTCCAGGCAGATAAGGGAGCTTCAGGGACAGCTTCCCCTGGGCTTGCGGGGAGACACTGGGGCTTCCTCAGGTCGGTGTGGCAAAGCGCTGCCTTTTGGGGTACGGGTCTCCTTCAGCGGGGTTACGGATCCCTTGCTCATGGGGACATTAGGGCACAGGCGCTGACGCAGCCTCATGGGCACGAGCACTCTGCCCGGTCCTGGCTGCGGTCGCTGGGGCTGCTCTTGCTCTTCCGAGAGCCAAGCCCGGCCCACGGGCTCTGAGGACAACGCAGGAGTGGGTGGCGGGCGGTGGCGGGGCAGTGTGTTCAGAGGCTGCTGGGGCCGGCCTGGGGGGTGAGCAGGCCTGAGGGGTGAGGTGACGCAAGGTGGGGGGAGGTGTGCAGGGGCGTTCTATGCTAGAAGGTTCCCAGGGCAGGAAGGAGGGTTGTGTCTGTGAGAGGGATTCCAGCAGACCCAGCCGCCTTGGGACCGGGCTGTTCTTCGGGACAGGACGCTGGGCTGACCGCGCCCGCCTGCTCCTCCCCCCGGGCGGGGTGCGTGGCAGGGGCCAGGCAGGCCCAGGCTCTGTGCAAGACGCTGGGTTTTGCAGCCACTTGCTCAGTCGGGCAGCACAGTGGGTTTTAGAATCGTTTTCCTGTTTTTCTCATGCTTGGCTGGGCTGGAATGGCAGGGGCGGGGGTGGGGTGCAGGGGGGGCCTGAACCAGAGGCAGCAGCTCCGTGTCCCTCAGACGGGAGCCTCTGTTCTCCTGCGGGGGGCACCTGCCCCAGTAACCCGGCTGGTGTGGGAGGCTCCGTGTGGGTGTCGGGCCGTGCCCTGCCGTGTCCTGAGCCAGACCCTCACCATGCGCAGTGTGTGTACGGCCCCCGCCTACCCCAGGCCTCCTGCCCAGCTGGGGAGGAGGTGGAGGGAGGAGGCCGAGCCCAGCCGAGCTGGGGTGTGCCCCAGGCTGGGGATGCCCCGAGGGCCTCGGGGCTACACGGGGGAGGCTGCCCTTCCGTCCTTCCTGTGTCCCCACCCTCGGTGAACCCCACGCCTGTGTCCAGACTGCACGGGAGCTCCCACGGACAGCAGGAAAGGGGTGGCCATGTGGTAGGGAGGCAGGCACGTGGCACCGAGGCTGTCCAGATGGCCAGTGGCAGAGGTCATCGGGAAATTCAGGTTGGAGCCACCACAAGGACTGACCCACAGCGCCAGGACGGAAGACCGGCGCCGCCCAGCACCGTGGGGATGTGGAGTGGGTGAGGAACTCGCCACCCGCACTTCGGGGTGCTGCGGGCAGTGCCAGCGAGGCCGCTCTCACGTCCACTGGGCCTAGGAGTCCTCTGGGCGTGTCCCTGTAGTGACACGTGTGTGTTCTTGGCAGCCCAATTTCTAATCTCCCCAAATTGGAGACCTCCCTGGTGTCCATTGGTGGTGGGGCAGATGGTGACCCGTGGGTGCTCACGCCACACCGTCACGCAGCAGGGAGCGCAGCGACGCACAGCTGCACCGTGGGAAGGCGGGGCCGGCACAGACACCCCCAGTCGTGTCACTTCCACCATGTTGGAAACAGGCGATCTGAGCTAGCTGCACTGTCTCGAGGCAGGACGGCTGCTTCCTGTGGGGCCTTTGGGTGCTGGTCTTGGCTGTGTCTGACCCAGGCGCGGTGCTGGGCGCTCAGAGGCCGCCTGCAGGGCCCTGGCTGCATGGTCATGTCCAGGTGCACAGACGCGCAGCCGTGTGGGCCGCCCAGGCGGGGGGCCTCGTGGTCACCCTCGCGCCTGCCTCCTGCCACTGGGGTGTTGGCCGCAGCCTGAGCTTCCTGCTCCCAGACGACGGGGCCTTGGGCGCCGTGGGGCCTCCGGTCTCATGCCTGCCCCTCCGCTTTCAGGGCTACGAGGGCCTCGTGGAAGGAGGGGAGAACATCAAGCAGGCCAACTGGCTCAGCGTCTCCAACATCATCCAGCTGGTGAGGCCCTGCCCG